TTCAATCAATAATTTTGAAAATCTAGCAATACTAACATTCTGCGTTTCTAATTTGTACACGAATATTTTCTTCTTCGTGTTACCTTTGAATTCTTTGAAACAGTAAGTCATACTCTAGAATTCTTTAGAAAAGTAAGTTAATGCATATTCAGTTTACTTTATTGTATGTACGTAGGTAAGAATGACAAGGATAATTTCAATAAATGTTGTTTGTGTGCATACGTTACGCATAAAATAGATCAAAACAAGTGCTAAATATTTGTGCAGTAACCTCTAAGGAAAATTCAATTGACTTCTCCTTGAAATAATAGACATACAATTTTTTGCTGTTAAATTAGTTGCAGTGTCTTATTAAATTATTTACATATGCAGCACTAAAAAATTACAATGTACTTATCATTCAATATTATTAAATGTTCCGTCTATTAAAATGTTGTTTCGAATCGTATTTGAAATGCAAAGTAGATTCAGAGGGAAAAAACCCGCTTTAATTATAATCCATTGGTATCGACAATAAATAAGCCTCACGTAACAGGAAATATCGTTCCTCAACATACATGAAATACTAGAAAATATTAGAAAAAATGGATCGTCATAAGATCATGAGACAAAGCGATTATCATGTCATACATATTCATTAGTGAATAAATATTGGTGATCACGATAGAAATACAAAATGCGGGAGCAAATTTTTCATACTTGTCAAATTGAGCAAATGCTACTCAAAAGCTACTCAAAGGAAATCGAAGAGTCTGATTGCATGTAGAATTTAGAATTAGAGAATAACAAATTACAACAATTATCGATAGAAAAAAAATATATATACACTAAATATCAAAAGATATATTATATATATTATATATTATATTATAATAACGTATGTTATTACGTAAAAACATATATTTATAAATATATTTCTCCTTCGATTATTATATCATATAATAATACATAGTACACTAAAATAATTTATAATAATGTATATTACATGTAAGTATTTAAATAAATATATTATAATAATCTATGTAATAAAAATGTATAATAATTACAAAAATAATAGAATATGTCAAGAAACATAGAAGGAAATATACAGTGAAGGAAAGATCTAGTATAAAAATTTTGGAATCACAAAAAAGATATAACGATATTTATAAATATACAAATCTCCTCTTCGATTATTACGTATCAGAATAATTTTAAAAAATTTTCCTGGAACATAGAGAAACAAAATTGACACAATTCTAGACTGTTAATAAATTATGTAGCAGAATAGCTTCAAAATCAGAAACGTTCAATGAAAGTAGTAAAAATTTGCTTTCGTGTAACATCTCGAAGCGACAGAAGGATACTCTGACAAAAAAAAAAAGTTCGCTGCCAGCTGTAAATCCAATTATGCAAATTATCGACTAAAAGATAATTATTAATAAACGCTATTTATCATTAATAAACTAACTATCATTATCAATAAACTAAAAGATAATTATTAATAAACGCTATTATTAATAAAAGACAATTATTAATTACTTGTTTACCAGCTTCTTACTTACACGTGTGTGGATCCAGAAACCCGAATCTCGACAAATGCATCTTGAACAGTCTAAATTCTATGAATGAGAAGTTACTCCACGGAATTCCGGAAATGGATATCTTATCGATTGAACCATTGAAAATTGGAGATCTCGTGCTTACCGACTTGCCGAATTTCAAGGCGGTGGGATCGGACGTAAAGTTGAAAGGGATAAGCACTTATCACGCACATTATTTTCACATAGATCTCGAGAAGAAAATTATAAACATAAATATGACAACAAATGAACTTTCGACAAATTCTCTTTTCAATATCACTACTCGGATCTTGGTCCCGATAGAGGCAATGGGGAACCTTTCACTCATTACAAGTAAGTTGAACTAACTGTGATGATATTATTAAATAACGGATGAGAAATAGTTAGAAAAATAGTGAATGATATTTCGAGAAAACTTGTCTTTTTTCTTTCTTTTCAAGTTTCGAACCGATACCGATTCCTAACCCGTGACTCGTACACGTGAAATGTGTACCAAATGTGTTCGTGTAAACTGTGCATCGTGTACATACATACAGAAATCCTGAAGGAATTATTTCTGTGGCTTTAAAATTGGTATTTTTGGTTCTGTTCGCCAGAAATTATTATAATCGTTCACGCGTTACCAGATTTAATGCTCACTGCGCGCTAATTATCGATGCAAACGTGATATGTGAATCTATCGAGGAACACTGTTCTTACTGCTTGAACGCAATTTCTACTTTCATAGAATGCTTCGCGATCTATATCGATCGTAGATCAAACGATTTCTTGTCGGTAAGCGAAAACTGTTTCTTACCGGCAGACAAGTCCTCAACTACACGATCTGAAATCGGGCGATTCTCTCCTTCTGAGCCGATGAAAAATTGGTGAGGATTCTCTCATTTCTCTTTCTATCGGCTTCGAAGGTTTTCGAAGGGTTTTCAAGGTGGCAGCAAATCGTTGACATTTTATTTGTGAATTCCGCCGAAGCGCGTTTTGTTTCAATATTTTTGGAAACTTCGCCTGACACCATAGACTATGACACACTGTATCTTATTAAAATAATGCATAGACATAAGTTTCGGGTAACTTTTTAGTTTTTTTAATGAGCCAGCAAGATCTCATTTTGAGCACTTTATCTTGTTTATTGGATTCTTCGAAAATAGTGTGAGATTCCGTCGAGATAGTGTCACAAATCAGGGCAATTTCCAGGGAAGTTTTTCTAAATAATAATATTACAAGAGTATAATGTAGAAATACAAATTATTACATTTTAAATACAATAATGACACGAAGTAAAACTTGAACGTGTTAATATAATCCCATTATATATTTTGATGCACGTAAACCTGTAGCCATTTTGGCCGAAATCGGATTAACAATGGAATATATACATAGTTGTGCAGTTAATTTACCGGCTGTGTCGCTACACAGAATAGGTTGTAGATATTTTTCTTTAGAAGCTGATGTAATGTTAAACAGAGGAAGCGCGAAGTTAGAAAAATTCCATTTCGTTTCATCTTCATCACCAAGAATCTTGCAGTTTCGCCGATTGACGATATTTGTCCTTTTCATCGAATGAACCGATATTGATTTTTTTTTTTTTTTTTTTGCAGAAAACCCGACCGCTCAGATAGAAATAACGTACGTGGTGATCAATCGTGGTGGCAAAAAACTTTTCTACTTCTCGTCGTTGAACTTAAAAATACATATCATAGACTTTGACTTAGATTTCCATGGGCAAACCCTAGACAAAACCTTGGATGAGGCGATCAAACAAACAATACGTAACAATAAGAAGGAACTGCTGGCTGCGAGCATAGTGAATATAGAGAAGGCCATTTCGAAGAAGTGTCTTGAAATAATGAACAACATTGTCAAGCATTTCACTTACGACGAACTTTTACCCGATCGGGAATAAACCGGATAACTTAAATGATCGGATTTGCCAATCACCAGGAAAGGAGAGAGAAACATCGATGAAAGGAAAACGAATTTACAGACTAAACATCAAATTGAATCGAATGAAACTTTGTATTAGAGAAACGAAAGTGCAAAAGTTTATACATAATATTGTGGAATAGAGACACACTCGTAGATTTCTCAAAATCATTTTTTTCAATTTCAGTTTTTTATTCATCGGGATTCGTTATGTTTTAGAAAAAAACTAAAAATATATGTAGAAAATTTCGATCGAAAGTTACGAATCGTTGAATGCGTGCATTATATATTTTGTCGCTTAATGTTTTGTTTTTTTTTTTATTCATATATTAAGATACATTTTATTCATATATTTTGTCGCTTAATGTTTTGTTTTTTTTTATTCATATATTAAGATACATTTTATTCATATATTTGTGGTTGTTGTTGTTGTTAATAACATTAAATGCAATTAAATATTAAATGTAAATGTAGAAATAACGTAAAATTTACCGAAAGAAAATTAACGTAAATGCAAAATTTGACAGAACATAACGTAAAATCTATTATATATAAAAAAATTTAATCTAAATTTAATCTATATATAAGAAAATTTAATCTAAAAAAAATTTCTATCTAACATCTATCTAAAGAAAATTTCTGGAGTTCTATGGCGAGAATTAATGTTCAATTATCAATTATCAATTGAGCATTAATTATTCAGTATTCGTTAATATTCGTAAATTATGAAACAAGTTAGAGACATATCACATTTTTTTTACATTACATTTTCTTTAATAGATTTTACGTTATATTCTGTCAAATTTTGCATTTGATATTTACGTTAATTTTCTTTCTGTGAATTTTTCTACATTTCTACATTATTTCTAGAATACAATGTAAAATTTGAGTACTCTGTAAAGTTTTTTTAATGTGAAATGTATCTCTTAAACTAACATTATATATTTTTTTTTAAACTGATGATTTTATAGAAAATTATATTACGTTTTCAAGCATATGCTCGTAATAATAAATTGTACAAAATACATCACAACTTTATTCTTATTTTAGCAAGACTTGAATTTTATGTATTATCCAAAAAATTATAATTAACCAAAAGATTATTATAATTAATTCGATACATTGCCTCTTTAAACAACAATACTACTTTTTTTGCTAACAATTTATCAAAGAGTAAATGATCTTAAAATATCGAACAATGGCAAATTCATACCGAAGGAGATTTGCGATATTGCGAATGTATTTGTGAACTAATTGCCTGAGAAAATGCAAGCTAAAGAAAAATAAATCAACAAGAACTGAGACACTAACATCTATGTTATTACATAGTAATGTATCATAGCCAGTTATATTTTATTATAAAAATTTTACAATTATCCATCCCTTATATTTTTTTATTAAATTGTGGATATTTATGCAAATTTTTTGACACAACTGCGCGTCGAAATAAAAATATAACAGTTTATATGTTTCGTATATTATATGTGATAAATGTTATAGGTCCATGAAACCTTCTATAATATTTTCGATATCTATAGGAATATCTAGAGATTAATATAGACATATTTCGTACATTTTCCGTATCTTACATGCGTTCTGTGTATTTTTACATCTTTAAATTCCCCACAAACGCATAAAAATCCACAGTCTACCAGTAATTTACATTTCTGATCTTTCAAAGAAGAAAGGAAAAGAAGAAGAAAGGAGTCATAATTCCAGATCATAGTCTCTTCAGATCTCAAACCTTCGAGGGGGGGGGGGGAGAAGAAAGAAATCATAATCCCAGATTATAATCTTCGTTTTTCAATGACGTACTTAAAAAAAAAAAAGGAAAATCTCTCAAAATCTCTCGAGCGAGACGATTCAGCTGTTCTCGATGCTTGAATTTATCGTCGATCTACGATATTTCTCGAATGTTTACGACTCTGGGAAAAGCGTTTTGTACGGAAACTGTTGTAGAATACTGTTTGAAATGTCTGTGAACGTGTTCGAGATGGCGTTCTCAATAGCTGGTTTGATCTCTGTAATGAAACCGTTGAAGTTGCTGTTGATGGCATTGTTGACAACGTCGCCGAGAACTGGATCACCGCCGAAGAGATTCTGCAGATGCAGGACGCCATCTTGTATGAAGATCTTCGTCTTAAGCTCGGCTATTTTTAAGTAACTTTCACCGTCTTCCTTCTTGTGTTCCTTCATTTGAATCTTCACGAATGCCTTGCAGGTTGTGAAGTTACCCTGCATCGGGCCATTGCCCCGGATGTTAAGGAGAATTATTCGTCCATTAACGTCGTAGTTGCCTTCGATGAAAAGATGCGGAATATCCAGATCGGCTACGAAGGTCAGTGTTTCCAAACTGGATCTGCGAAGAACGTTTTATATTTTACATAGAATATGTTAATACATGTTAAATAATATCATATAAATTGTATTATTTCATGTATTATATTAATTGTGTGTTATATATTATATTGAGGGATTAGTCTAACCCCTAAAGAAAATTTGTAACTTAAACAGTGACTTTTTACGTAAGTGGACATCTCTTTTCTGTAATCTTTGAATTTTTAATAATAATTTCGATACTTTCATAACCATTCTCTAATAATATAATGTCTGTCTCTAATAAGATAAGATCATTCGATAATTCATTTAACTACATTTAAATCGTGGTATATTTTTGTTTAATACGAGCAAGGATCACTTGATCAATGAATCATACGTCATTGACATTCATCGTTTCCATTCAAACGCATAGTCTCCGTTGAGGTTTCATCTCCTTTTTGCAATTCCCGTGTCACGTTGGTCATACAAATTATTCGCAAGCTACAACCGGAGAGGAGTTCGTGTCACGGCCATTCGTGTACGCGCGGAATACAAAGAGGGGGATTTCCTCATTTATCATTGTTCCTTTATTTATTTATAAGTCACTCGGTCAGAAATCAATCAATCAACGTAATACGCTTGAGAGTTGCAATTTCTCCAGCTTTAAGAGTGAAAAATAGGATTTATTTCGTGTCGGTTTTGTGACAAAATGAATGGTCGCCCGGAACGTAATTAAATATAAAAATATTCAAAAGGAAAGTAAATGTTAAAGGAGGAGTTTGTTAAAGAAAGATCTATCTAGGAATGTGAAAGAAAATTAATCGACCTTCTGGTACAATAAAAATAATGGAATACTCTTCGCGAGCTGTCATTAATAATCTTGTAGTTAATGTCACGTTGATCATTAATTACTAAAACGAAAACACGTAGAATTGTACGTTTAACTGCGATAATTTATTTTTCAGTGAACTTATCTATTCTTGGCAGTTGTCAATGTGTTAATCAAACAACCTAATTCTGAAAGATCGTTCAAAATTTCTCTTATTTCTGACAGAGTTAATTTCTTTATATCCTTGTAAGGTAAATTGAACAACTTTCATTCCAAGTGATAGACAATTCGGTATTTCAATATTTCGATTCTGAAAAATAAATCTTTTTTTATATTACTGTAAAACAAATTGAACAACTTTAATTCTTAGAAAAAAAAAAAAAAAAAAGAAGAAAATATAGAATTCATTTATCTGTCAATCAATGGTTAATCCCTTGATATTGAATTAAATAATCCTGATTCTGAGAAATAGAATCGATTATCTTAATTCATTCTAACATTCGGAATTAACTCGGTTCTCCTCGGATTCAGTTACACTTTCGTAAATACCCTTAACTATTTGCACACATTAGACAATGTCTTCGTTTCCGAATGTTATTTCAAGGCAGGTTGTTCATCGCCGTGTTCGTAACACGTGTCATTAGCCGCTTAATTTAACATAATAACGGAGCCGGACTTCGTTTTATCTTCGCAATCTTTCTTCATATTCGTTGAAATTCGTCTCAAACAATTAAGTTGAAGTGACAGTAAGGAAATTGAATTTCGCAACAATATAATTATTTACGTAATAAATAAGCTTTAATAATCTAGGAGGATACTTTGTACAATCTTCTAAGATATGCTTTTCAACGTTAAACTGTGGCGATTAAGTGTAAAAGTTGTAAATCTGGTTTTAGTTCAACTCTAAGCTCATAATTGCAAACTGTAGATGTGAAAATACCGATTAACAGTTCCCACTTAAAAGTTAACATAACATTAATTAAAAGTTGAGTAAAGTGTAATGTTGAACTTTCTTTCAGCCATTCAGTTTTTCTTAGAACAGATTAAAATTCTCTGTTATTTAATATTATATTGGGAATACATATAAATGTATTTTTCTCCAAAATATATAATGATATTTAAAGTTTGCTCGTTCTCTCACTGTTTGTTATTTATTTTTATATTCATGTTCCTAATTACACGCATTAGAGATTTCGCAAATTTTCAAACAAAAAAAAAAAAAAAA